CCTCACATGCTCATTTCCAAGAACAGTTTACATACTTTTATTGCCAACCCCGCCCCTCTCAGCTGTCACTGCAGCTCTGCGTGTCACCTCAGCGCGCATCGTTCACAGCAGACAAGCACCATAAAGTTTATTTCTCCCTCTGTGTCCGGACAGCATGAGCTAACGACACGCAAGAGCCCGGTCGGGTCAGTCGGGACACCAGGGGCGGTTTCTTAAACAGAGGCAAACGTGAAATCTGAGCTGGCCAGATGTCTCACCCTCCTCTGCTCAGGGCTCTCTGTCCGACAACATTTAACAGCTTGGAAGACAAAAAATAAGCAGACGAAGAAGGGAGAGGGTAAAAAAGAAGAGGGGGAAAACGCGACATTGTTACTTTTCTCATTACTCTGTGTTTCCAGGAACTTACTTTGGTGCCTTCCATCCAGGCAGTCCGCTTTTCGGCTGCTTTTTTTCACTTCACCGCTCCCATTTTCCAGCCCCCCGCCGCTCTCTCGTGTCCCGCTGGCTCGTCTGTCTGCTAGTCGTCATGAGCTCTGCAAAACCCCTCTGACAGTATGCTCTGCTCCGCCGCAGTAAACTATCAGGAGCTGGAAACACCGGGACACACTCGTCTGTTCCCATCCCATAAAGTCCTCCTCCATTCCGCTTTAGCGCCCACTTAAAAAAAAGGCTAGCTAGAAAAAAAACCGCACTCTTCCTGTTTGTTACCGCCAAAACAAAATGTTTCAAATAGAGCTTACAGACGAATTTATTACATTTTATCGACTATATTAGAAGCACGGGCCTTCAGGATGGCTTTTTATTATTAGTTTTTATTAGCATTTTTTTTAATAGCGGATAGTCAGCTAGGTTATCTCGGCTCCTGTAGCCATGGTTCCTGTACAGGTTAAGATGTGCCCTTAGCTAGCTAATCTCTATACAGCAACATATCATAATCATCTTAATAAATCTATTTACCCATTTCGTATTAGAAACGGGGAGAATTTACACACTGAAACTGTTTCAGAGGTCTCACCCAGGCTCGCTCTGAAAGAAATTTAAAAAAAAAAAAAAAGTTCACGTTTTTATTTTGAAAGGATCGCTAGTACGAGTTTCCGCTTTCTCGATGCCGAGCTCTGTGCGCCCTCTAGTAGCAGTGGAGAAAAACTAACACGCGCGGAAAGAAACGCTGAAAGCATGGTTGCGCAACAAGGCGGTTTGTTTCATTTGGCTTCAGCCACACGTCTTGATGAAACTGATAAAAAATAAATAAATAAATAAAGAATAATAGTTCATGTGAACAGAAACCCAGACCTTTCCTGTCGCGCTTTTTTTGCCTGGTGTGCAGGCAAATAAGTTTGAGGCGTATAAGACAATGCCTACAGAAACGGTTATCTGTTTAATTTGAACATATTTAATAGATATTTACTTCCAATATGACAGGGGAAGTCTCATCGTCCAAATACAAGCATGACAACTAAATAAATAACTAAGTCAACCATCCTACACAGGCCAAATCTGTGGAGATTTTGTGTTACACCCTGTTATCCTGACATGGAACACTTCTCTCATAATGCAGGAGCAAAAACAGAGAGGTCAAGTGTGATAATGAACATCTGTTGGTATGCAAACAATGCTGAAGGGCCCCCGGCTCTCTCTATCTGCACCCTTAAGGTCCATTGTTTTCCTCGTGAGAGCATTACAGCACCATGGCACACACCCATACGGTTACCCGCACACACATGCACCAGCACTCCCAGGGGTGCACACAAACTGAGGCCAGCATTGAGGAACTGTAACTATTGTTTTTTCCCCGCAAACAAAAAGGCACGCAGTACAGTAAGTTCTGCAGGAAAGCTGGTCATATTTTTTGCGTGTTTTGTGCAAACACTGTCACACGCATAGACCTCTTGCATCTTTTTTTGGCAATAAAAGGGTCTTCAGGTTTGTCAAAAGATCAGAACTTGCTCAAGACCCTAACACTAATCCTAGTCTAATGAATTCAAACCAGTAAACCAGCTCTCTTTCTTCTTGTTTTTCTCCTGCCATGGCATACTGCTTATTAAAAATGCCACCAAAGGATTAGAAGCCTGCTGAACACAGCCCCCTAGGCCCAGTTGGTCGAGGGAGGCCTTGAGTACTGCTTGAAATGAAAATGAAACATACACCAACCAATGAAGAGATGCAACATGTACCAAACTGAGACAAAAACATCTGCAATAAGAGACAAAACGACCCCAAAGATACACAGAATAGTTCAAAAAGACCGAAATGAAACATGAATGTGAGATAAACACAAGCAAAAGTGCAATATAGCCAAAGCCGAGCCACACAGTCGCTGCAAAGAGATTTCAAACAAGGACACACAAAGTGATACAAAATCACACTAAGTGTCTGCAGGACACATCATTGGAGACACAAAGGAAATAGAAATCACTTCTGTGTGGTTTGCTCCCACTGCGAGTTCAGGTGTTTGGGTAATATGAGTGGGTGCCTTTTGTGCTCAGGGAGCATTGTTTCATAATCTGTCCATTCTACAACAGTCATAACAGCCAGAGTGAACCTAACAACAAGTTTGTGATCGCTGGGTCGTTCTGTTATTTCAATGTCAGTGTCAACTGTGGAAACAGTACAGGCTGTAAAATCCTCCTTGGTTACAATCCCAGTGTTCAGGGGCGTGTTACAGTATCTGAAACTGAAAAACATTACTTATCATTCATGCTATTGGGATTTTTTTTTTTAAGATAACAAGAAAAACCTTTATTCATGTGGCAAAATTCAAATAATAGATTATGGGGTAGGCAAATGATTAAGCAGGTGGAGATTAAACCTCCTGAATAATGTTTGCAGAGGAATAAACCAGAAGGGTAAAACCAACATCGCTGCTCAGATGTTTGAAAAGAACAAACGCCCAGTTAGGTTTATTCAGAGCAACGTGCTGCAAAGGCCAACCATTTAGGTTTTTCGAAAAATAGTAATAAAAGTACAAGGACTCAGAGGCAGTTGTAACAAGGCATTAACAAAAGTTAGAGATCTTGCTCATTTCTTCTGTTAGTCTATTCCAGTTATACCTGTTAGAAGTTCAAATCAATCCAATTTTAGCAGTGTCCAGTAAAGACATCTGAGAAAAAAGTTACATATGACACATTTTTAAATAAAATAAAGAAAAGAGATTTTAAAAAATCCATTTACTGTTAAGTTATTCTGACAGCTTTAAAGTGCTTAATAAATTCATCAGAGCACCACTGAGTGTGAGGTTTGGTTAATAGTTAATTCACCAGTATACACAAGCTCTTTGATTGAAATCATATACTTATTGTCAAATTCACTGAGTTACAAAAAAAGGGAAAAGAAAAAATAGTAAGCCACATTAGTATTATTTTTATATTACTTATAATACATATTTACTTGAATTCGTGAACAAAGACAGTAGTTTAAGTGGTTGAATGTTGTGCTTTGGCTAAAGTAATAATCATCATCATCATAAAGAACTAAAATATTTGAGTTGTCCTGATTTTTATTTTATTTATTTATTTTTTTGAATAGGTGGTTTAATAAATTTGTACTGCATATGCGTCTAACTGAGCATGTGCAGAGAAAGTGCAATGCTCGGGCTTGATTTTGCCTTTTAGTGTTAAGTGTTATAAACCAGCCCGTGTTTCAAATGTCCGTGGTTTTCCCTTTAAGGAGGGTTTAACTGTGAGGGAAACAATAATTTTCTTTACTGAGCGGGTTAATTATATTAGGTTATATTAGCCAGAAAGTCTTTTGACGTCAATGGGGGGAAATATGAAAAAGCAGTGGAGGACTTGTCCACTAGATGACACCAGAGCTCATTAAAAAAAAACACTATGCGCTTAAGTTTAAAAAAAAAAATATTATTACTTTTTTATTATTATTTTATTTATTCTTTTTTTTTCTCACTTTAATCACAGAAAATAACAGCTGCAGTTTTGCTGACCCCGTCACTTAAATATAACTTGGCTCCCTTAAAAAGAGGATTGTACTTTACCTTGCTAAATGAAGACTTGGGCATGACAGAACAGAGCTCCTAAAACTCAGAACAATTTCTTTAGCATAAGCAGCATTCAAGGCAGTGTTTGGCTTGTTAGTGGGAGTTTCTGTGCCTTGGACGACGCAAAAAGTCCAAGGCCTTTGAAAATACTCTCCTCTCTGGTGTCTCCATTACTTGTCTCCTCCTTATTCTATTTTATCGGTCCAAAGGCATGTTTATTCATCCTTCTCCTTCGTGCCCACACTGCATTTCCGTTTTTCTCTGCACAGACTGCATATTGTGAGAATCTTTCGTGAGGAAACGTATCGTCTGACTGTGCTGATATTTATTTACGTGTGTATTTATGTATTTTGATTTGGTTGTCAGTTTATTGTCTTGCAGATGCTTCACTGTGTCCCCACAGAGCTGCACTCAGAAGCAGACCTGTGCTCGCTGTTCATTGGACGGACTTTGCGCTGTGTCATCATTTCTACTCTCTATTCCTGGATGGAGGACAGCGTTGTCAAGGTGTTACGTTTAAGAGGCTCTCCAGCTTATGTGGGATATGGGTCAACAAAGGTGGACTCATCTTTCCAGCTCTATGTGTGTGTGTGCCCTAATATGTTATTATAGTTGATAATATTATATGTTAATATATTTTTTTATATATAATATATATTATTTATTCTTTTTGTATATTTTTTATATATTTACAATTAATTATATGATTTCTATTTGTATTTTTTATTGTTTTATTATTAATATATTATCTGGTTCATCGAAAGTAAATGTGTATTGATGTCTGTATGTACCTACACGTTGGTTGTTTGTTTGTTTGTTGCATTCCAGTCCACTCTTCCAATACTGTGTGTCGGATGTGGTGAAACCAGCTGCTTCTGCCAGTCATAGAAGACCGAAAAAAGACTGACGCAGGCAGAATTCGTGAGACCTGCAGGGAAAGCCCTTGTTAACTCTAATTACTCCCACTTCGCCAGAGTTCAAATTCATTTAATCCAAGCTGCACCGTGCGCACATTAGGCCAATTAAAGCGCTGTTCACTTGCCTCGGTGCACCTTGGCTGAGTTGTCTTGATAATGACCCGTTTGCTTGCTAAATGTTTGTCTCTGTGTGCACACGGAGGACCTTCTTTTTCTCTTTTATACGAAGAATGAGGAAAAATGAATTTGTTATTACACTTCTAGGCAAAAAGGCCTAACCTGGACCACAGCAAGGCTTTCAGAGTGCGCTAAGGCCTGCTGTCAATCCTCTTATATTGTGCCTCACTGAAAATGGATTAGTGAGTAACACTGGTCCCGGGTCACTTTGGAGGGATTTGATTGATTGGGCCTGTAGCTGATACTGACCTCCTATACTAACATACTAAATCATTTCCCCTTTAAATTATTACAAAACCAAAGAGTTGTAGTGTTTGGGGGAGGGAAATTGCGCTTTATTTTTTATTTTTTATCGAAAGGAGGAGTGCAGGATTTAAAAAAAAACGTCGATCTGGAATATATCTAATTTTCTTTTCACATTTACACGCTAAAGAAAAAAGACACGAGTGGGTTTGCGTCCTTTTTTAAGAGACATGTTGCCTGTGAACAGAGCTGTTTGTGGAAACGCGCAGGAGCCCTCAGAGACGCTGACTGCAGGACGTAAGTAGCTCTCCAGGGTGCTAAAGTTGTCTCCACACCCCCCATCTAGGCGCTTTTCGTGACACTTTCAGCCCGTAATCCCCACACGATGACCGGCCTGTGTCTTCATCAGAGCGACACCGGGGCGAACAGGTAAAGGTATCGGGGATGGTTAGTTGGCGAGTGTGTGTGAAGACAGAACAAAGAAAAAAGAAAAGAAAGAACGCAGATCCGAGTGGGTATCTGTAAGATTGTCTCATCGGACCCTGTCCTGATGCCGTTACAGACATGTGGTGAGTGCTTCAGTTGTGCTTAAACATCTGTGAACGTTCAAATAATACTGGGCAAAATGGAGACTTGTGTCTGTACCCCGGTTTGCAGGTGTCAGAGGTGTGACTGATAACTGATAGTGAACGCAAGGCTTCACTATCTTGGTCACCGTGGGAGGACAATGCAACATATTGCTCCAAATTTCAGATGGCCGCTGTGGGAGTCCAGCCATTCGTGTGTGCCCGTAATTAAAAACAGACACACCTTACCGGCTCTGCCCTTTTACAACTTTCTGTTATGGGTCCTGCTGGGAGTGCTGACGTTCCCTTGCTGCGTCCGCTGTTTGATATTCAAAGTGGGGGTCCTGGGGCCCTGGAACTGCGACCCTGTTTTTTACAAGGCCCTGCCTGCTGCGGCGGCCAGGCTCGCCGTGAGCAGGATAAACGGGGACGCCGCTCTAGATCTGGGCCTGAAAATGGACTTCATCATCGTCCAAGAGCCGTGCGAAACCTCGAAAGCGCTCACGGCATATATTTACTACGAGGGCATAGCAGACGGACTCGTTGGCCCCACCAACCCCGGATACTGTGTCGCAGCGTCTCTGCTCGCCAGGAACTGGCACAAGGCTCTCTTCTCATATGGTTGTGTCGCCTACGAGCTGGAGAGCGCCACGGCATACCCAACTTTTACCAGGACAGTGCCGTTTCCCACCGACGTGTTGTTCGTAGTGTTGAAACACTTCAGATGGGCCAGCGTCCTGGTAGTGTCATCCAATGAGGACATCTGGATTGACACGGCTGTGAGGGTTGCTTCTGCTCTCAGGAGCAAGGGGCTTCCCGTTAGACTCGTCGGATCTATGGGCGTGAATGAGACGGAGGTGGAGAGCACGATGAGGAAGATCCAGGATGCAGGAGGTGTCAGGGGTGAGTGTGTGAGAAAAACAGTGCCCCATAGATGATTATATGCAGTCTGTGGAGGGACAGGAGAAAAGCACCCAAGGTACAATCTGTGCTGTGTTAAAGTTGTGAAATTGTGGTATGGTTCTAACGCGCAAAGGCTCTGATATTTTGGCCATGGATTTATATTTGTTACATAAAATCAGCAGTAAAACACAGCAGTGTAAATAAGTAGCATACCTTTCTCTTTCTCTGGTAATGGACCTCTATCTGTTATCTGTCGCTTACTGCCAATATTCTTGCTCAAAGGGGAGATTTTCTAAAAAAAAAAGGACATTTCGTGTGCTCAGTTTAGTCAAACGAGGTCTCAAAATAACAGTGTCCACTGATTTATATATTTATTTATTTTCAGTTCAATTTTATTATTAAATCACAACAGCAGACACTTCGAGGCACTTTATATTGTAAGGCAAAGTCCCTACAATAACACAGAGAAACCCCTAACAATCAAACGACCCCTGCTTTGACCAACTTCTGTTACAAAGCACTGGGAACAAACATCATTTGACATTAAAGCAACTTGCAGAATGGCAAATGCCAAACCAATAGATCACCCAACCAGAGTACTGTCACACCTCAGCTGTTCTCCAACACCTGAGCCGGATGCCATTTAGATAACTCAGGTTTGACCTTGTGCTTAAAGCGAAGAACGGCACCAATTTAATTAATCTGCTTTTTTTAAAAAGACTTTTATTTTGACAATAAGAAGCTGCAAAGGTTTCAAACATTTCCTCTTAAATTTCTGGCACGTTTACTGCAGTTAAGATATTTCACACTCTCTCCATTCAATAAAAAATAAGGTGCTTTTCCCAACACAGCATTTGTTCATAATAGTCCTGTTAGTGCACCACATATATTCATAAGGAATTTGTAATGCTTTGTGTCTTTGCTCTTCATTTCAGTCATCGTTATGTGCATGCACTCAGTCTTGGTTGGAGGTCAGCAGCAAGCTACTTTCCTCCTCACAGCACGCAAGATGGGTCTGACTTCAGGGAAGTATGTGTTTGTGCCCTACGACGCTCTGCTCTACAGCGTGCCCTATATGAACGTCTCCTACCTCCCTCTGCAAAACAGCAGCAACCTGAGAGAGGCCTACGACGCCGTGCTCACTATCACAGTGGCCTCGGAGCCACTGTCCTTCAACGAGGCATTTGCTGCGGCCAAGAGGAACAAAGAAGTGACGCTGCCCATGGAGCCAGAGCAGGTAGGAAGCCAATTCAACTGATTTCACTCACAATGTCTTCCTTGTTTGTTATTCCATCACACATTGTTGCATATCATGACATATATTGGTGCAAAGGCTGAGTCATTAGACAGTTATAATGTTTCCTGCTGTCTCCACACGCATATTATAGAAAAACATAATCACATGCTTTTAATAATAATATATGATTTTCTATATTAATTATAAAATATCCTTTTTAGCAGCTGTAAATGACTGAAATAGGAACCCCCACTCATGTTTTCTGTTACAACCTTGCTAAGCCTTCGCTTGAACCTGCAGGTTCATCCGCTGTTTGGGACCATCTATAACAGCATCTACCTGCTGGCCAAGTCCATCCAAAATGTCAGGAAAGCAGGCATGCAGCTGTCAGGGTCGAACTTGGCCTATTTCAAGCGGAACATCACTTTTAATGGCTTCAACCAGGAGGTCAAAGTGGACACCTCTGGGAGTGTTAAGACCAACTACATCATCCTGGACTCTGACAACAGGGGCAGCAAGCTGTACCAGACCTATGTAGTGGACCTAACATCAGGGGCACTCCGTTTTGCAGGGAGGTCCATAAATTTCCCCGGAGGGTCCCCTCCTCCCTCTGACTCCAGCTGCTGGTTTGACCAAGGCACCATCTGCACAGGAGGTATGAGGCTCTGGTGTGTTTGTGTAAAGAGGTGTGAGTTTAGCCAAGTCTACATTTTGTCATTTATCCATCAGTCTAATGCATACCACTATGGTCCTTAGGTGTGGAGGTCACCTACATCATAATAGCGTTAGCAGTCATCTTCTCCCTGGCTGTTGCGGGGCTCACAGTAATTCTCTATATAAGGTAAATACGCAAAGTCTTTTTTTTTTTCCAACGATGCCTCCCGCTTCCAAGCCTATATTCAGAGATTTGAAGTAGTGTGATCTATACCATGTGGTATGATGTGGGTAATAACTAATATCATCTCCAGAATCACATATTATGCCTCTTTGCTTGAGAAGACATGTCTCATGTATAAAAGCTTGAGAATTAGAAATGTACTTTTAACTTAGAGCTCATCTCTGGATTAAAGACAGTCAGACACACCAGAAGAATCTACTCGAAGAACTATAAGCATTCTCCTTTTTTTAGATAAAATGGTGAAAATTTGGGTTATTTTTACTTATTAAATCATGACAGCAGGGAATATAAATTTGTAGCAAAACAGAAGAAAAAAAGCGTTTTTCCAGATGTAGACATTTGAGGGAGACATCACTACTTCCCCCGTATCGTTTCTGAGATTCAGGGAATTTGTTGTATGTGTGCTGTTTACCTATTGTAAAATCACTTTGGCAGGAGGAGACTTCATCAGATCCAGCTGGTCAGAGGTCCCAATCGGATCCTCCTGACCTTAGAGGATCTCACTTTTATCAACCCTCAGCTTAGCAAAAAGGTAAGTCATCATTAAATTAGACTAAAGCACACCGTTCCATCATCTGTGCGTTTTCCACATCGTCACATTTAATGTCTGCCAAGCACAGCATGGCTCTCATTTTTAATAAATCTTTAAATGGTGTTTGATGTCATGCAGAAAATCACTTTAGAAGATCTGAGCGAGTCCAGGAGCGCTCTGGAGGAGAAATCTGCAGACCCCTCACACTCTGTGAATAGCATGCAAACAGAAACTCATGAGACCACTAATGTAGCTGTGTACGAGGTAAGCTGAGTTTACATCAAATATTCACTAAAGCTTCTTAACATAAGCTGGTGAGTAAGTGAGGAAGGTAAGGGAGATCCTTGTGTAACATAATGTCTGGGCCAGTGACTCAAGATGCTTTATATACAAAATTAACACATTTCAGTGGAAGGAGGTTGACTAAATAAGAACCCTTTATGACTCTATCAATGGAGAGTTTAATTTCATATAATAATAATATCATGCTTTTGCATTTAGGGTGACTGGGTTTGGCTGAAGAAATTCGAAGAGGGCCACTTCAAGGAAGTAAAACAAAGCACCTCCAGGATTTTCATGAAGGTAGAGCAGCATGTCCAACTTGATGTCACGTAAATGCATATTAATATGCCTCAGGAGACATTTTCTGCTTACTGTGTCTTCAGATTTTTATGACAATTTGTGGAAGAGAGTGATCTGAGAGCAAGTTAGGGTTAGAGTCAGAGTGAACTCTATTGTTGTCTCAGCCCAGTATGGATATACAGAGAGATGAAATGTGACGCTCCTGGTCAACAGCATACACAGAGGGCAAATAGCAAGACATTGTGCTCTGACACCACTATATATATACAATACAAAATACAGTGTATACAAATATACAAAATATAAATGCAAAATACTGTGTTATCAAATGGTACAAATACAAATATAAACTATACAGTGTTATTGTCATGTGTCATTTCAACACAATATTTAGGTGACATGTGCTCTCCTGTGTGACCCAATGATGAATGAGAAAAAAAAACCTGAATGTGTAATTCCTGCAAATATTCAGACTGAAAAATGTGTATGATTTTTTTGGTCATCTTAACAAACTGCAGCTACTTTTCTCAGATGAAGGACCTGAGAAACGAGAACGTAAATCCGTTCCTGGGCTTCTTTCTGGACTGCTCCATGTTTGCGATGGTGACGGAGCACTGCTCGAGGGGCAGTCTGCAGGACCTGCTGAGGAACGAGGACGTTAAACTAGACTGGATGTTCAAGTCCTCCCTCATGCTCGATCTCATCAAGGTGATAAAAAAAAAAGTCTTTTAGAAAAGAACCGCTTGCCATTTTTTTGAAGGGAAGAAAACAGCAAGAGTTTTATTAATTGTTTTTAGTTGTTTCTTTATGATTGAATCAAAGTGTTATTTGCATCTGAATCTTTCTAGGGTATAAAATATCTTCACCACAGGGACTTCCCCCACGGCAGGCTAAAATCCCGAAACTGTGTGGTAGACGGCCGTTTTGTCCTCAAGATTACTGACTATGGCTTCAATGAGCTGCTGGAGTCTCAGAAAGCTCCTTTAGAAGAGCCCCCACCTGAAGGTACTGTTTGCTGTGCTGTGTTTTACACTCAATATACTTTACTGAAACAATGCCAGAATCTAAATGTTTCCTTTGTTGTACTTAGATCTGTTTTGGACAGCACCAGAGTTTCTACGCGACCTTGCCAATTCTCGCAAAGGGACATTTAAGGGAGATGTGTACGGTTTTTCTATCATTCTTCAAGAGGTGGTGGTGAGAGGGCCACCGTACTGTATGCTGGGACTGCCACCCGAAGGTGTGTATTCATCACAGAATACTCAAACAATGAGTTATTTACTTATTTAGTAAGGAGAAGATGGAGATATCTGATTTTGGTTTGGCTGCCACCAAAAGCTGTCTTTCCACTTCAAAGTCAGTTAACAGAGTGTCAGTACAGAGATAAAAGTAATAATAGTTTTGTATTCTGTCATTTGTTTTTAATTCTGCTTAGTGTCAGTTAGTCTCCCGTTTGATTTCTTTCTTGTTTTAGTTTAATGTTTATTAGTTTTAGTGTTAGATCTGTTTTTTAATTATTATTGTATGGAGGGCATGTGTCAGACGCTAGATTTCGGAAAATCCACAGAAGTTTTTGAAAGCATTTGTACGGTGGCCCTGAGAGGCCAAACGGACTGCAACTTAAGAAAACACCAGCAATAAGAAAAACGCTGCAAAAGCACACAAAATACAACGGAAATAGGAGAAACGACAACGGAAATAGGAAAAAACAAAACACAAATAGGAAAAATAAAAACAGAAATAGGAAAAAACTGATTTCCAAAAGCACAAGGGAAGTGTTGCTGGGGAGACAATAACCCGACAGACCAGTTGCAGGAACCAAGAATTGTGCTGGGAAACACTTAAAAGAAGTGGAGGATCTATCGGTTTTGTGAGGAAAGAAAAGATGAGGTAAGTGTGTTAACCTAACTATTAGCCTAAAAATCCATCATTAGTATTATATGAATCATGATAAAACACGCCTACAGTGTTTTGGGTTCCTGCAACTGGTCCGTCAGGTTATTGTCTCCCCAGAAACACTTCCCTTGTGTTTTTTCCTATTTCTGTTTTCGTTTTTCCTATTTCCGTTGTGTTTTGCGTGCTTTTGCAGCGTTTTTCTTATTGCTGTTGTTTTCTTAAGTTGCAGTCCTTTTGGCCTCTCAAGGACACCGTACATTTGATTCACAGTGTCGTAGACCCCCACAGTCTCAATTAACAATCCCTCAAAGGTTTATCAGGGAAATGTACATATAATTTTATCAAACTAGCAAACAGTAAAATTATATTACCTGTATATTTTTACTTAAGTTAGTTTTCCAAGTTCACAAAACTGTTTCAATTATTTTAAAATTTTTATTTAAGGTTTTATTTAGTTGCATTATTTTTATTTCACTTAATTAAAATGTTTGTTTTACAAACAGCTTTAGTTTTTAGTTTTGCTTTAGGCACCTGTAATAACTTTGGTATTTATTCATCCCGTGTTCTCCAGAGATTATCCGTAAGGTGAAAAAACCTCCTCCTATGTGCCGTCCTACTGTGGCTCCAGACCAGGCTCCGCTTGAATGCATCCAGCTGATGAAGCAGTGCTGGAGCGAACAGCCTGACCGCAGACCGACCTTTGATGAGATCTTTGACCGGGTTCGTTTTTGCAGACGACCTCGTGGCCTCATTTCTTTACTTCATCTAAACTATTTAAAGAACTTTATACATATTTGTTTAACATGACGCCGTACTTTTTCCAATAGTTCAAGCTAATCAACAAGGGTAAGAAGACCAATATCATCGACTCCATGCTGAGGATGCTGGAGCAGTACAGCTCCAACCTTGAGGATCTCATCAGAGAGAGAACAGAGGAGCTGGAAGTGGAAAAGCAGAGAACGGAGAAGCTGCTGTCTGAAATGCTTCCACCGTCAGTCAACACTCTCACACAATCCTGCCAGCATGAAGTTTGGAAAATAAATGTACCCCTACTCCATGATCATCTCATTCGTCCTTTTTTTTTTTTCTATTTCTGTCCAGTTCTGTGGCAGAGGCCCTGAAAACTGGTGCCACAGTGGAGCCAGAGTTCTTTGATCAGGTGACAATCTACTTCAGCGACATTGTGGGTTTCACCACCATCTCCTCGCTCAGTGATCCCATTGAGGTGGTCGACCTCCTGAATGACCTCTACACACTATTCGATGCTGTGCTCTCTAACCATGATGTCTATAAGGTCAGGGAATAATATCGCCTGATAAACACCCAGTTTCAAAGGTTACTGGTCTGAAACCTTTGACTTCCACTTGATTTGCCCTTTCACTGAATAAACTTCTTGATTTGTCCAGGTGGAGACCATCGGTGATGCTTACATGGTAGCATCAGGCCTGCCTAAGAAAAATGGCAACAAGCACGCTGCTGAGATCGCCAACATGTCTTTGAACATCCTCAGCTCAGTGGGAACCTTCCATATGCGACACATGCCGGACGTGCCCGTCAGGATACGAATAGGAATCCACTCAGGTGGGCGTGGCAGTCTTTGGAGTCATTATCAGCCTGACAAGCTTATCAGGTAGAATCCAAAGATGAATGTGCGTCGCTGAAAGAGATTTTAGAACAGGAATCCACATAGTAGTCCGATCGCATTTATTCATTTAGAAATAGTATATGTTGGCTACTGTGGTGCATCGTACAAAATAACACAACAATTAAAAAAAACATAACAAGACTATGACACAGATAAATATACTGTGTATAAGAGTTGCAGTCTTGGCAGTGGACTTTGCAGTGCTTTGGGCTTGATGCAGAGTCAATGGACAAGCATTAGTTCAGGTAGACACAGGCAGTCACAGCTCATTGCCATGCCAGCCCACATCAGCTGACATCTCATTGTATGCTTGAATTATCCTTTAGCAGGAAATCCACGTCATAGCTTACAACATAACCCCTCCAAACCCTACGCTGTAACCTTCCACACCAATCAGAGGTGCTGCGGGCTGCATCAGCCTGATTAGTAGTTGCATTTCCTTGGAGGTGTGCATCAGGTTAAAGTTACCCCGCAGGGTTAAGAGGCATTTCCGGGTATGTTATTAAGTTATTTGCTGCTAAAGCACAACTCAGGCATTATAGTGCATAGTTTAAGCTACTTTAGTTTGCCCACAGTTGCTGCACATCTGCAGTCCACTCCACTGCAACCCACCTCTGGCTCAGCCGCTCAATTTCATGTTTAATCTCTCTCGTATTTGTTGTTATTGATGCATGCTCTGTTATGAGGTGGGACTCTTAATGCTTCTCTCCAAGTGAGGGATGTAAAAAACCTCAGATACTAAAACTTTCCTAATTGAAACCATGGGTTTCACCTTTAAATGAAAACACCACTAGTAACGGACATTTTTCCATGAGTGAATGGAATGATTGGACTTCTGTTGTGTATTTTGCAGGGCCCTGCGTTGCAGGCGTGGTGGGTCTGACTATGCCTCGGTATTGCCTTTTTGGAGACACCGTGAACACTGCCTCTCGTATGGAATCCACTGGCCTGCGTACGTGCGATCTTTGCTGCATCGTGGCATGTTTAGGTTGACTCTGTTGTCTGTATATTGTCTTTATATGCGCTTTATCCTATCCTCAGCTTATAGAATCCATGTAAATATGAGCACAGTGAAGATCCTCCGCTCTCTTAACGATGGTTATAAAATAGAAGTCCGAGGAAAGACAGAGCTTAAGGTAACACTTTGGGAAGGACTTACTTATTTACTAAAAGACTGCACAGCTCTGAGTTGTTCTTTTTGTTGCAGGGTAAAGGTATTGAGGAGACATACTGGCTTGTGGGGAAAACCAACTTTACAAAGCCTTTGCCAAAACCACCAGAGATTAAACCAGGGTAAGAGACCGAGTCTCGCTTTTCATTCGCTCACTGCACCGTCACAACAGCTGAATTTAAAGGGAAATAATGAAATGTGTGCGATTGTCACAATTTGCCATTGAAGTCAGATTCATGAGTCGCTTGTAAACATCTTTTTTTTTCCAGATATATTTTCAGAAATGTTGCTTTTCATTAGTGTGATGCACACATGTAACTTGTGTCCTGCCACTCATGCAAACTGCAACTATCCACATGTTGCTTCAGGCAAGACAATCACGGGCTGAACCCTGAGGAGATAGCTGCATACAGGAAAAACAAAGCCGAGAAAAAGGCTTGACCTTCTTAGTCCATACACAGGAGGTATAGACCTGCATGCCAGCTGGTGTTGTGCTGTAAAGTGCTACCGTGATGAGATTGTGCGCATAAATTTCCCTTATAGATATCTGGATCTCACAAATTGCTTGTGGTCTGGCAGTGCCACATTAATCTTTTGATCTTGTCGTATCTTCTTAAGCAGATTGGGGAAAGCCCTCTTTGTTTAGTGCATTCGTTTTCATTGTGGCTGGCTGGTGGTTTGTTTTTGTTTTTTTAAATTTACTGTGTTTGTAGAAGCTCTCGTTGTGTTTTTGTGGATCCTAGAGCACTCCCTAAAATTGACAACTGCACAAATTACAGCCATGATTTTAACACCTTACTCTGTGTCAACTAGGGACAACTGGCAAGAGATGGTGACAGAGGAGATCAAGACTCATTTCCGCAAGGCCAACAGGCAGGTGGACAAAAAGTTGTGAAGGCAAGGAAGAGAAGGAGAAATGTGGAGCAAGCAAAACTAGAGGAGAGGAAAGGAGAGGAGAAAGCATCAGGAGGAGTAAGCATCCATCCAAATAGAGACAAAGAGCTGGGAGGGGCACGCAGAGGACAGAGAGCACCACCCAGCTTCTCACTGTGGCTTAAGGCAGACTTCTTTAAGAGGATTGTCCATCGACCGGCTAATCTGCCTGCAGCCAGCGCAGCAAAACACAACGGTGCTAATGTAATGAGAGTTACCTGCCTACGTACCTGCTGCCAGAATCACGGGGAAGGTGCACCACTCCTTCATGATGGATGCACTCGCTCACTCCTCTCTGCACTCACCGGCCACTGCGTGGTCACCTATTACAGGGCAATCAGAAGCTCACTTGCTGGAAAATTTGAGTGCCCCAAACGCCTATTTCAAAATGAAATGTTATCTTTTTTTCTGGTGATTTTATCTGTTTTTAGTTTGTTATAAAGCTCATAATATAGTTGTCGAGACTGTTACTTAGCTGTGGCTGAATTCTAAAACTGGTTAGCCATTCAAAGTTTGAGGCAAAAGCTGCTACTGTATGAAAATAACAAGATGAGAGGAAAAAAAGAAAGGGGTCGATCAGTTTTTTTTCTACTGTCTTGAAGCACATGACAAAGTACATTTAAGCCCATGCCTACAGTTTTTTTTTCTTGAAATATTTAACAAGTATAAATAAGGAAAAGTACGACTCATTTTTATTTCGGTCATGAGGAGGAAAATGGCCACTTCCTTTAGTGAAACATGTCACTGTTTCTAACGTGCTCAGTGTCATTTTAACATCTATTGTCAGCACTCAAAACTCTAGTTAAATGAATCCAGCTTAATGTTCTGTTTCTGATGAGGTGCTCAGTAAGACGATACAAATAAGATACATGTTGAAAATCTATAACAGACCCAGTGAAAAATTCTCAATGATGTCAGACATTTTAAACCTGTAAAGCCTGAATAATGAAAAACATCAATAAATAAAACTGGAGAGATTATTCAACCTTCCGATGAATTAATAGAAGATATTGAATATCAGTTTGCATATACGAGCTTTAACTTGTATCATGTTTAATACATAAGGCGTTTTTGTGAAATTTATTGCTCACACGCACACTGTATGTGTGTCGACTGTATATACATCAGGCTTTACGGGGGGGGAAATCAAAAATGTAGAGAAAACATTATGTTTTTATTCACATCGACCAAAATTCCAACCAAACTTTTATTATTATTTAATTATTATTAACACACGTGAATTTGTAATCGTGTGTCAAGTGTCACATGGTTTCTTTAAAAGATAATGGTCCCATGTATATAACCTACACATATATATCCAGGACAGCAAGGAGTAACAGATGAACAGCACCACCTTCCGGTTCAAAGTAAATTAGCAAGTAAATACAATGTTATATATATATATATATATATATATAAAACACAAAATTTTCACAAAAAAAATTTGGGAATGAGCGCTGAGCAGATTTTGGTTTTTTTTTTTTTTGTTTGTTTTGTTTTTTAACCTCTTATCTACTTCTTTTTAGATTAAAAAATAAAGTAATACAACAATGCAAGAAATGTCCCTGTGCACTGTAGTTTCATTGCGGATTGCATAAGGTAAAACCTTTACAAAGTAAAAAACTGAAATAGATACAAAATGTCGTTTAGTAGAAACGTACCTTTTTTTGATGCATGTTTTGGACTCAGCCCTAAGTATGAAGTAATCTTATATTCACGCGCTGAACAATGAAACATATTTTAGCCGATTATAAATTTTGCAAATTCTCCCACTGATCACATCATGTTATTTTTGAAAATAGAAGCATTATTCATGCTCAGTATACAAATCAACAGCTAAGTCAGTCAGCAATATATTGTAATGTATATTGTGTAACTTACATGATGTTTATTTGTCTTGTATATTATGTAACTGTAATGCAATGTGTAAGATCTGTGTAAATATAAAGTAACTAAATCACTCATTTGTAACACCTTAAAAAGCTCGCTCTCTCTTATTCTCAGCAACCACAAGGTGGCGGCATGCTTCTCTGTAGAAGACGCACTTGTGTCTCACAATGAGATTACGTCCTCTCGTATGAGAGTTTCTGCTGATTTTTATTGTAGCATTCTTTATTTTTATTTCTGTCCCAATGCGTATTCGACGTGCATGAAACAGAAGCCCTACAGGAATACTGAGAGTCTATGAGGCGCTCATTTATGGATGTTTATTCTTTTGTCGGTGTGCTGTTGTCTTGCAGCTACATCCTGCTATGCGCAAACATCTGGAGATTAGATTTCCCACTCACCATGAGAACCCTGCACTCCAGTTTTTAAACAATGTAGAGTCTACATTGTCAGGAAGATCCCAACAAAAGATCCCACTGGTGTTATTATTTAGGCTGGTAGTGTTTAGAGAAATGGTCCACCAAATTCCCTTGAGGGTTATCACTGCATTCCAGACCTGGGAAGACTGTTTGACCTTCAGCCAGCTGGAAAAATTGTTATCCTTTAGAGATGTTAACACTAGCGTGCACACATTCTCCAGTTCAGCTCCCTATAGCACTCTATCATCCGTATTTGAATGGCATTCACGTGGTATTCATTCAGGAGATTCTCAACAAAGAAAAGAGCCATGCACAAATATGTTCTCTTCATTTTTTTTTATTGAAAAAGGTCCACATTAATCACATAAATCACACCATTCCAACAGATTCTTTGTGGAAAATACCTACAGCAAGAAAACGACACAGAAGATGGTTTGCAACTTAAATTAAGCACCAGACGATTTGCCACCTTCCCCCTGCAAGCTCAGCTCGTGCAGGGGAACAGTTCAGTGCAGGCTGGAGGCAAAATGAGAGGGGGAATGAGACAGCACTGTAAAACAGCTTGTGCATCGATCTTTTTTCTCTTTAAACATTAAAGATATTGCAAAAAAAACAAAAACGCACACACAGGTCGTAGCCGAACACACGCAGGTAAAAACAGGATGTGAAAGAGGACTCGTACTTAATATAAGCATGCTGTCTGCTGTGCCGACTGCTGTTTGTTTGTGGAAGTCTTAAAAAAGGCACTTTTTTTTTAGATTATTCAAACCAGCATGTTCTTAAGACGAAGTCATGTAAACAGATTTGTTCCCTGGGAAAGTCGAATGTTTCTAAGCTTGGATATTCAGTCCACAGATTGTCAATTGGAATGTGCTACTGAGGTAACAATCATACCAAAAACAAAACATGCACGCGCATAAAATCACACACAATTACACACGTGCACAGTTTCCTGCCATAATTTCACAAATAATAAAGCTACCCACCACAATTTATAACTTTAAACATTATAGCTCATCACGCATTTTGTCCCCTTTAGGTTTAACCACTCTGCCGATGTACAGGATGGAGTTGGTCTTGTTGTCCTTTACCAGGAAAATGAAGGGGTGATCTACGTAGAAGAGTTTGGGGTTCCTCAGCTTCTCAGTACCGAAGATGCTTGTGTCGTATGGGTTTCCTTCGATGTCAAGCTCCAGGGCTGATGCGTGGAAGACGCTGGAAAGGTAGAGATCCTTCTTTCCAGAGATGTTGGACAGGTCAGCCTTGGCTTTGTCCACAGCTTCTGTCAAGCCCAGCTCAGCCAGGTGTTTCTGCAAAACACAGATGAAGTTGCTCAGCGCTCTGGGTTCACAGTAATATTTTCTAACACTCCTAAAGTTACACTCCATTTGAGCCATCCAGTGTGCAAACATTTACCTGCAGGTTGTGGCTGACTTCCACTGAGATCTTAGGCAGGGAGATGGCTACGGCTCTGTTCTCCATCTTGCTGAGCCAAGTGTCCACTTGCTTCCTTGTCAAGAGCTTCTCCAGGCGCTCCAGGGGCTCCAGGTGATAGGGCATGATAAGGATCATGGAGGCCTGTTTCTGGCCCAGAGGCATGTTCAGCACAAAGACTTTATTTTCTGTGTCCTCGTAGAAATCATAAAGACCTGAGAGAGGGGCAGACAAAGCAGATCTTATCACATGTGTGTACTTGAAGGCGGGGTGGCTTATCAGCTTCTGGAGACATAATAAGATCAAAAAGAAAGATGAGAGAGAAACTCACCTGTGCGGTGCATCATGGGAACTCCGACAGTAAATGAGCGAGTAACCAGGAAACCACGGGTGTCCACCATTTTATCGTGGAATTTCTCCTCCCAGTGAGCTGTGAGGGGGGGAAAAGACACGAGGTCACAACTCTGCACAGGCGTCTGGCCTCACAAAGAGCTTCAGTCAGGCGTTAACGCCATACTCACGCTTGAAGAACATGGCGTTGACAATCATGGCTCCGTCTGGGTTTTGCACGTCCTTGGTGACCTCAGGCAGCTTGCCGCCTGTGGACTTGGCCGCCCACTCGTTGATGGAGTTCACTGCGCTCCTCTTGTCCCTGAAATTGATTTTGGAGTGGTCGTAGTTGTAGTGCTTCTTGCTGTTCTTCACAAACTCGTCAGCGAAGGACACAGAGCTGGGGCCGTAGAGGCGGTTGTTGATTTTCCAGGTGGTGTTGCGTGTCTTGGCGTTGCTCACCTGAGAAGAAGTGGCACATGTACGCCATTAATTTGTGATATAAAGACAACTCGGAGTCTATGGCCTGTGGTGATGATGGTGGAATTATGAAACAAGGGAAGCTCCTTACCTCAGTGAGGAGCTCTGACAGGCCTGCGTGCAGATGCTCATCCTTGAGTTTGTCAGCGCTGAGGACTGTTTTCACCTGGGAGGCAGTGGAGGCTTTGCCACCAAGAGCCACCAGCCCCAGAGAGGAGGCCACCACCACAGGAGAAATGATGATGTTCTCTGTGTCTTTCTCCTTTGCCATGGTGTGGTAGAGGCTAAAGTGAAATTAAAAAATGCATATATTTATATATAAACACAGAGAATATTACTTTATGTTACAAGTGCGCCAGAATCAATAATATACAAACCTGAAGGCCAAGTTGGTGCTTTTATCAGCCAGCGCGGTGGCGTGGGTGCTCAGCTTCACATCCTCTGCAGAGGCCACCAAGGCCAGCAGACAAAGGCCTACAATGTTAGTCATCCACATCCTGTCTGTCTCCAACAGCAGCTGCACTCTGTGAAAAGGAAGCAAAGAGAACGATGATGACATTATTCCTTAAAAAGAACAAGAAGAAAAAGAAGAGCATGTTTGTGATATTCAGAAATATATTCATTTGTTAAAATATATCTCAGAAAGAAAATGCCAGGGAGCCGACTACACTTGGGCTGTGGAGGAAGGGCAGAGTTGACCCAGCCCACTCAGGAGCTCTGGAATGTCCCGAGTTTGAGGGAGACATGTTTCGTGCCACGTCAGCAGCGACCGCCGCCTGAGCTGAACAGCTGAAACTCAACGTTTACTTGGATTGAGTTGGATCTCGCTTCTCCGGACACATTTTAAGTGATACAAATGGTTAATAGTGTCTCCTCAGATGCGAGGATCAGAAATCCCTTTGCAACAGTCTTGCGAGACATACAGTGCAGACTTTTTTCATGTTGCCTGCAGAGAAAGAAAAGGGCGTATGCTTGTAGGCTGCACCCAAATCATCCCATCTCTGGTTCAAACAATGGGCTGAATGCACAGCCTTGGGCTCTGAATAACCAGCTGCACTGGCATACTGTTTCTCATGCAGACTCATACTGCGTCTGTTCCTCTGTGATTGCATGTTTGTGATACCTTGAGATGTTTTCATTTCTGCGATTTTCATTCTGAAAGACAAGAGGTGTATGTAGTAATCTCTGTGGAGCAGGCAGTGAGAACATATAGGCAGATTCTCATGGTGAGAAACTCTATGCACAGTACGAAGTCTAACGTCTCTGTTCTAGTTTCAAGTTTTCAACCACTAGAATTTAAACATTAAATATTAAGCTGCCAATCTAGTCAACCCACCACTCATTCAAGATGAGGCACTTTTCACTGTTTGTTTCCCGACCCTGGAGAGGGGGAAATGCTTTGATCCAATGAGCTTTGCCACAGTCAAAGTAATACTCTTCCTAGTGGAAAGACAAGCTAAACTGGGCGCAGGCACGCTACTTTCCTGCAAACCTTTTTTTTATTTGTTTGAACTGAATGCATTTAAACTGTTGTCAAAGTTCTGACATGGAAGCAGCAGAAAGCCTGCGCCACCCTGCCAGCTGCATGACAACTTTCAGCTCTGATAACAGGTCAGGATTTGTTCCCTACTGGAAACAGAAGAAATACAAGAAGTATTCTCTGACAGACAGAGGAATCTCAGCTGCAGCTTTCAAACTGGGTAAAATGGAGGGTAGCTGATCTGCAGCTGTAACACATGATAACAAAGCAGTTCATTCAGTCGCCGCATTCCTCCCTGCGAAACAAAGACCGTTATCTTCTGATCCTTACCTGGCACAGATTATCGCAGGGTTGCTTCTCCGAGCTGTGTCCGGTGGATAGTGTGGCTGTGACAGACTTCCCTGGCTCTATATATCCTAAAAGAGAATTTTCTAGAAGTTGGGAATGGGATATTCAAATGAGGGTGTCTGTGTTTCCTCAGGAAGCTGGGAGCTGGGACGTCCCCCTCTTGAAATCACAGGGTGGGATGAAAGCTGTGCCGACTGAAGTAAGTGCTGGTCCTGGATCAGCGTTAAAACTTTCCCACAAAAGGCTCCTGAATAGAAAATCTGAATCCTGGTCAGTCTTAAGTTTCTGCCTCAGTCCCCTCGGTTTTTAACACTGCTTGCTGACTCAATCTTAAACTCTGGTTTCATCACATGATTGGAGATAAAGATTAAGCTGCCACTGACTGTGAATTAAATGATTGTTTTGCATGCATATAAATACAGTGTTAAAGTTCTTTTTGCACTCTTTGGCATTTGTGTGTATGAGCTTCTCTTCAAGTATGGAACACCACCATGCATCAAAACAGTCTCAGCAGGCAGGATGTTACTCAGTAAGCATTTTTACTCCAGAATAAAAGGTGTAACTTGTTCCCTGGCTGTTGTTAAACTGCTGCTTAACTTCACAT